TGGGAGATCTGGGAACTGTGCGCTTCCAAGATGTGGCCTCTGGCTGGGCGGTGTCCTCTGTTCCACAGCAGGCTTCTGCAGCTGGGCTGGGCTGTGTCTCCCACCCGCACCCCCTGGAAGTCTATTCTTCACCTATTGTCCTGTGGCCCCGAAGGGTGTAGCCACACATGCGTCCCATTCATATATTTATATTTTCATTCATTTACTTTAATTCAGAGAAAAGTGGTGCCCACCTTCAGCCCCATGGTTTCTGGCAGGTGCATGGCCCGGATGGCTCGGGGGTGGGGGTTCCAGCACCTGGCAGGAGCCCCCTTGTGAGCCAGCCCCCTCCTGACTCTCAGTTCTACAAAGTGAAATCACAGGTTTTCCCCTGGTTTTAAAAAAATCATGTTTGAATTTCAACTCCCACATTTCTCACCGGCCACTCTGGCAAGACACTGTCCCACTTGCAGACAAATCGGCAGCTTAGTGCTCCGTGGGAACAGCCCACACCAAGGGAAACTCAATTGAAAGCCCTTTTCCTTCATTTTGTTCAAGATGTCTCGGCCCTCTGCCTTGTCCCCCTGCCCCCTCTCTGCACCACCTGATTCTGCGGACGTTCTGGGAGGGTTTGTGCCTCTATGGCTGTGCGTGCAGCGTGGGTGTTGCTGGTAGGTGGGAAGAGGGGGGCTGTCAGGGTGGGTCTCACAAGCAGGTACTGTCCTTACTGAGCTCCAGAAAGTCGCCCCACCATCTGAGTCCTGGTTTACACGGCTGTGAAGTGGCACACAGGGCCACAGTTCTGACCCCTGATAACTGGAGGAGCAAAGCAAGGATGATGAACTTGGGATTCACTTCGGGCATCCATGGGGTCTGCCATGGGGCCAGGTTGACCCTCCCCGGGAGGCCATCAGCTCTAACCCAGCTGGTGGTGTCAAACTGCATCTGAATTTGTATCAAACCAGCGAATAGTGCTTAAAAAAAAGTCTGAAATGGCACCGCACTCATGAAACCCAGCAGGCCCAGCCCCTCCTGCCCGTAGCAAAAACTGGGAGAAAATCACCTTCTTTGTTTTGCTGGGTGTGTTTTGTTTTTGTATTTACCTCTGTTTCCAAATAACAGGCTTACGTCACAGCTCAGCATCCTCCCCACCCCAAACACTCCCTTCCCCAATACGGTGACATTGCCTTTTCTTCTTTATGGAAAAATAACACTGGGTGTTCCTATTATGAAGCATCTGTGGCAGCACTCATGGCTGAGCCATGGCCTCCCAGTTGTTCCAGGAGCCTCGCCTCTTCCCTGGCTTGCTCTTCTGGGTGGGTGCCTGCCTTCTCTGCAGGGTCCTCTTACTGCTCCTGTCTCCATGTCCCCCTCAGGTGTCCTCTCGTCAAGCACCCAGGGGCCTCTGCTGCCTCACTGCACCCGGTTCTTTCATCTCCCAGACACATGTCCTGGTTTGGGGTGCATGGGCCACAAGCCGTGTCTAGATCCCGTGTGTGAAACGTGACTTCATCGGCTTACCCCGGTGCTTCTGCGGGGAGGGATGGTGCTGCCCCGCAGCCCTAGTCCTGCCGTGGAGGAGGCAGAGGTGCTCCAGTTCTGGAGCCGAAACCATGCTCTCCTCGCCTACTGGCAGCCTGGAACATCCCGACCCTGAACACCGAGGTTCTTTCAGGCCATCCTGGCCTTTCTTCTGACCTTTCTTTCATTCTGCTAGAAACTGGGACGATTTATTTACTTGGAATTATTAGTTTTTTCTCTTTTTTTTGGAGACATAGTCATTTGCTTGCTCAGGCTGGAATGCGGTGGTATAATCATAGCTCATGGCAGCCTCGACCTCCTGGGCTCAAGTGGTCCTCCTGCTTTACCCTCTGGAGCAGCTGGGACTACAGGTATGTCACTGTGCCTGGCTAATGTATATATTTTTTGTAGAGATGGGGTCTTACTGTGTTGCCTAGGCTGGTCTTGAACTCCTGGGCTCAAGTAATCCTCCTGCCTCGGTCTCCCAAAGTGCTGGGATTACAGGTGTGAGCCACCGTACCCAACCCTGGGATGATTTCATCTGGAAGTTCATGTCCTTCAACTCAGGTCAACCTTCTTTTTCCATTTCCTCACTTCCACTTCTCTGCCGTGTGTCCCTGCTGATCAGCACTGGGCTTGCTGCACAGGTCCTCAGTGGTTTCGTTTTCTGATCTCCCTTGCTGTTCTCTGGCAGCTTCCTCAATCTCTTCTCCTCCTCCTGTCAATACTTCATCCACCTGCGCTCCGCCCGCACTCCGCCCACCCTAACACAAGAGCCCCTCCTATTCCCTGGAGACCTCATGCCATCCCCAGCTGCCCCATGCCCTCCTCGTTGGTCCACTGTCTGCTGTCTCTGCAGCTTTGCTCTTAGCACAGTGTCCATGCTGTGTGTTTCTCTGTGCTTTTGTGGCTCCCATGACAAAGGCTCTCGCACGCATTATGGTTCTTGTGTGTCCTTCCATAGTGGACAGCAAGGGCCATGTGTGCTGTCTGGACCATCAGCCTCACCCTTGCTGCCCCTCCACCCACCCAGACTTTAGCTGTGATGAGCTGGCGTGAGCTTCATGGGAGCCCTCCTCCCCTTGATGTGGTTCCATGCTTTGGCTCCATGCTGGTGGTGCCATGTTTTATACCCAGCCCTGCTGTCATCTGGTGCCTGCTGGACTTGACCCCCGGGACACCACACACTTCTCCCCTGCCCTTTCTTGGTCTTCCCCCAAAGTCCCCCACAGTGAAGGGTGCCCCATACCTTGGGCTGAGGTCAGATCCTGGTGGTCACACTTTCTCCTTCTCTTCTCCCCATCTCCAGTCCAGCAATAGTTCTGGCTGGTCTCTTCTGGGCCCTAGAATCTGCTCACTTTCCCTCCCTCACCGTCAGTAGCCAGGCAGTGGTGGCCAGATGATGGCGACAGCTGCTCCTGTGCCAAGCACTCCCCTCAGTCCAGCCTCCAGGGCATGTCTTTTTAAACACTAACTTAATTCTGTCATGGCGGTGCGTCCCGACGTTGGCACTGCTGGGCCAGCCCCACACTGTGTTTCTCCACCTGCACACCCAGCCCTGCTCTTGGCATCACTGCCTCCCCTTCAGGCTCCTTGAAGCCCCTCCTGGAGGCTGTCTGCATGAATTAGCTCAGGACGCCGTGACAGCACCATGGATGGGGCGGCTTCAACCACAGACAGTCCTGGAGGTTGGAGTCCAAGGTCACAGCACAGCAGAGCTGGATCAATTGGGCCTCTTTGTGGCTCATGGACACCATACTATCCTGTGTGTGTGTCCTGGTCTCTTCTTCTCATAAGGGCCCTCCCCAGATTGGACGGGGCTACCCTAACCCTCATGTGACTTAATCACCTCTTCTGGTTCAGTCTCCAAACACTTACCCGATGGGGCTGACTCCAGGCAGCGGATGGCAGAGCTGCAACATCCCCCTCACTGCCGCCTACACAGTCTGCCTACCTGAGTTCATCCTCTGCCCTCCCGCCTTCCGCTGTGTGCAGGACTCTGTCTGTGACCTGCCAGTGCGTTTACTCTGCGTCTTGCCCTGCTCTGCAAGGTGACAGTGATGAGGACAGAGCTGAGTCTCTTCCCCATGGCACCTAGTCTGGCACAGCATGAGGTGCCTGGGGGCTCTGTGGAATGAGAGGGTGAGTGGATGCAGGGCCTTAGAAGATGGGGCCACTGAGACTGGCTCCACTCTGATTTCTTGGGGTTCCTGCTCCGTGTGACCCTGGGCAGGTGACAGCTAGAGTGCTGGCTTCTGCCTCTGCCCCTTGCACGGTGCCAGCAGGGGAGGTGCTGATTCAGGAGCCCAGCCCCATCTCTGCAGCCCCTGCCTCACTTCTTTCACCTTCTGGGGGTCCTCAAGGCAGGGAGAAGAAGCAATGAGAGCCAGCTGAGTCCCCTGGCTAGGGACTCAGTGAGAGGCCAGAGCCCAGTGTGCAGCGAGCAGAGCTATGAAACGAGGGCCAGGAGAGGTGCAAGCTGACTGTGGAAGGGATGCCAAGTCCTGGGGGAAGGCCAGGCCCTGTGTTGAGGCAGGGAGGCGGGGAGCCTGCGGTAGGGGTCCCTCACATCGCCCCTTTGTTTCCTTTGAGGAATCCTCATGGTCTGCAGTCCTCCACGAGTCTGGCCAAACAGAGAGCCTGCTCTTCCCTCCCCTAGAGATCCCCCCCAGTGGGTCCTCTGCACCCCTTCCCAGCTCATGAGGTTTCAAGCACTGGATTGACTGTTCCAGGAATGTAAACTGACTTACAGGGTAGGAGACTTTCCCTCTGTAAGCCTCAGTTTCCCCATTTGTAAAACCAGAAAAATAAAACCAACCTTGCAGTTTTGCTTTAGAGACGAGTAATGATTGACCTTGATGGCTTGGTGGGCATGGAGCACAGAAAACAGTGGCAGCGGGGTGACAAGTGACCTTGGGGAAATGGCTCAGGAGCAGGGGGCCCGCCCCTGGGAGCTGTGACTCCCACACTCTCGGCTCCCTGACGCTCAGTGTTAAGTCTGGCAAGCCCTTGGCCCACAAGCTCTCCTTCCTCCCTCCTGGGCTGGGTCTTCCTGAGGCTTGGAAGGAGCTAGAAGTCTCCCCAGGGGGTCTCAGGGGCAGGTTTAAGGGCCTGAGGCCAGCAGTGGGAGGGGCTGGCACCTCTCATGTCAACCCTCAATCACAGCAGCCCCACCATGCCCAGCTGTGGCCGCCCAGTCCTGCTGGAACACTGGGCTGCACCATGCCAGGGATATCTATGGGGGCTGCCAGCAGGGCCACTATGGCTTTGGGTTGCTGCCCCGTCCTTGGATAGCAGCCCCAGACTGACCACCCTGCCTCAGAGGCAGGGCCTCACCTGGCCTGTCTGCACCAGGGCTTGGCAGGCAGCCCCCTCTGGCCCCAGCAGGCCTTGGCTCCAGGCCACCCAAGGCACCTCAAATGCCAGGTCTCAGCCATGCCTGGTTCTAGGACTGGCTGTTTGGAGAGGGGGTGTCAGGGACCTGTCTTGTGAGGCTGACACACATCTGCTGTACCTTTATTGCACTTGTACCACATTGCAAACTATTCCACAAAACTCTGCCAAGGTGAACCCACAGCTGCAAACATGCAGCCCTGGAGGATGCAATGGCACCAACTGCCCTCAGCGAAGTCCAAGATGGGTGCCACAGGCCAGCGGGAGACTTGCAGGATGCCTTGTAACCAGGCCCTCCAAAACCATGTGGGCATCCGTCCACCAGCACACGGGCCAGACATCCATCAAGAGCCTCCTCCCATCCTCAGACGAGACCCTCCGGCCCTCCAGGAGCCCGGCCCCAGGAAGGAGAAAGAGTTTTAACTTGAAATAGGTCCCGAGTGTGAGAGCACCAGTGGTGAATGTGGCCTTGGGGGCCCTCGGAACCGGGGAGGACGGTCCTCGCGTTTGGTTTGGTAGGCGATCTGCCTCTGTGCACATGTCTCTGTTAATATACTTATTCATCATGTATAAATACAAAATAGTAAATAAAGGCTCCTTTCCCTACAGAAAGGATGGAATGCCTCCAGTGCCGGCTGCCTCTGTTGGTGGGCACAGACAGCGCTTCCTTCCCAACCTTCTCCCATCAAAAACGAACAAAACGTGTCCTATTACACCCGCGGAGCCTGGCCTCCTGAGGCTGCGGTTCCTGGCTCTGGATGATCCTGTCCTGCCTCTGAATTCACTGAATTCACTGAATTCACGATGGGCACGTGTCTTGCTGGGAGCCCTGGCCCCTCTGGCTCTGTCCTGGGCTGTGCAGCGGCAGGCAGGCGGGCACTACCTCGTGGAGGCGGCTCTGTACTCAGTGTCCAGGTCATCTTCCACCACGCTGCGCAGACCGTCCCGCTCCACGCAGTCCCGGACGGCCTGCAGCACAACGCGGAGCCTCCGGTCCAGGGCCTCCAGGTGTGGCTGGTACAGCACAGGCGCCACTTGGTCCCCCTGCAGAGACTCGGCCATCAGCAGGCTCAGTTTGTACTCCTCCTTGGCCAGGAGCTGCAGACGCAGGTAGGTGGACTTCCGGATCCTGGGGAGGAGAGGGGTGTCAGGCCTGGCATGGGAGAGGGGAGATGCCTGGCCACCAGAAAGTGAGAGAAAGTGAAGGAGAGACCAAGAGAGTGGGGGAGAGACAGAAAGAGGGAGACAGAGAGGGAGAGAAAAAGACAGAGACAGACACAGACAGAGACAGAGATGGAGAGAGAAAGAGGGGGAGAAAGACAGAGACACAGAGAGAGAAATAGAGAGATGGACAGAAAGAGACACAGATAAAGAGAGGCAGAGATAGGCAGACAGAGAGAGACAGAGATAGACACAGAGACAGAGAGATGAGAGAGACCACAAGAGAGGCCCTGTGACCTGATGTCTCATCAGCCGATGAGCTGTGGATGTGGGCTCCGGTGCAGCCTCTTATCTGCACGAGGGGTGAGGGTGGCTGTGCAGGACTCGGGGACCAGTGTATTTCCCAGAGGGGCCTGGCGGGAGGATGGGGGAGTGAGGAGGACACCCACTTACCTGGGAGACACCCCAACTTGGCACATCTGCCCAACATGGGTGTTGCAATGCTTCCTTAGAGAAGTGCAAGGTGCCTGCCCTGCAGGCCAGTGTCCCCAGCCATGAGAGGAAGGAAAGGGGGGTGCTGAATTCTGCAGAAGGGGGATGGGCCTAGTCCAGCATGAAAGGAGGGAAAGGGGAACTCAACCCTGCAACAGGCGGCAGGGGCCAAGTCCGGTGGCCAAGCAGGGGACAAGGGTCCCTGTGTCCCAGCCGGTGTCTGGCCTGGCCTCAAATTCTCTTTGTAACCACGCTGGCAGGATGGATGCAGAGCAGAGGCCTGAGAGGGCTCAAGCTGGACCAGCCTGAGGCTGTGGGTAGGTGAGCCTGCACCTCTGGGCAGCAGAGTGAGGGTGTGGGGCTTATCCATTCCCGGTGTGCCAGCTGGGGCAGGGTGGGGAAGGCTGTGGCCTCCTCTGTCTCCTGCACGGTGGGGGCAGGTGCTCTTAGTGGGGAGGAGGCTGGAGCTGGAGCCGGCCCCGCTGGGGCTGTACCTGCAGCATTGCTGTAGTGGCACCAGGATGGACAGCTCATCGTGAGAGTACTTCCCAAACCTTCCGGAAGAAAAGCAGAATTGTCAAGGGCGCCTGTACCAGGTTCCTAACAACAGGCTGTTGGGCTGGGAGCCAGGCAATGGGTCCACCCTGCCTGTCTCCAGCACCCCAGGCAGTGGGTCCACCCCTGCTTGTCCCCAGCCCTGTATATGGGGTCCTGGCCTCTGGCCTGGGGAAGGGTCCTGGGCAGCTGAGTTGAGACGGCTCTTGGAGTGTCAGCCCACAGCTTAGACATGGAGACATCCTTACAGCCAAGCACAGGTGACCCCCACCCACAGGCTATTCAGGTGCCAGAGGCCCATCTCTCTGAGGACTCTGAGCCTGGGAATGGACATCCTCCTGCCCAAATTACTTGCCTCCATGCTTTGTTTATCAGGGATCATCCTCCCTGGTCACCAGGGTCTCACAGCACCACCCGAGACCACCCTGTCATAGGCCAGCAGTGGCCACAGGTGGGGCACAGAGCCTATTCCTGGCAGACTGGTTCCAGGTCCTGCATGCAGACAGAGGCCCGTCTATTCTGCTTGGTCCTGCTCTTCCTACAAGCAGCCTCTCTGGGCCTCAGTTTCCCAGGTAACACCAGGTCTTCTAGGACTTGTTTTGCAGTGATCCTGTGCCTCAGAGGTCCCACTCTTGGGGCAGCCCTCCCTCCTGATTGGGGCCTGGGGCTGCCCTCTGCATCTGGCCCTGAGATGGGCCTTTGTGATATTCCCATTCCTCCACTGGAGGGTTCCCCGCCCCTTGACCCGGGGTCTCAGCTGGGCCCCAGGTAGCTTGGGCCAGGAGGCGGCTGGCCCTTCCCTGGGTCTACAGGTGCAAGGACAGTCTCACCCTCTTCCGTTGTCTAAGTGGATAATGAACGTTTCGTTCCCAAACTTCTCAAAAGTCTCGTAGTGGTGACGGTCCATGTTTCCTGCAGAGAGAAGCAGAAATTGTCACAGCTCATGGGAAGCCAGGCCACATAGCTGAGAGTCCTCGGTGCTCTGCAGAGCAGTGTCTCCTCCTTCCAGCAAGACCTCTAAGCAAAGGCAGCAACTCTGGCCCCTCCCCAGGCCATGGGACAGCAGCTGGGCCATGGCACAGATCATGCCCTGAAGAGCACAATCTGCTTTACCCAGGGTGGGTGACACTGGGACCCCATGCCCTGCAGGACATACCCATGAGGAAGTCAAAAATAGTCATGTCCATGACGTCCAAGACGCGGTGGCTGCTGTCATAGGGCGGTGTCTGCTTCACCTCCTCGCAGTAGTCAGGGTCCACCTCCCACCTGTGGGGAGCCAGTGTGAGACGGCCAGGCTCTGCCGTATGGACAGGGGTGCCCAGGCCAGATTCTGGGGAGCCCAGCATACACCATGAGGAGCAGAGGAGAAACACTGCAGCAGGGACTATGGCATCTGCAGATAGACCTGCCTTGGCTGCAGCTCTGAAGCTGCATCAGTGGGAGCATGGGTTTGGGAGGGGACGGGGTCACTCCACCCTGTCCTGGGTTGACCACACCTGGAGCTGCCTTTAGCCCTGGGTCTCGTGTTTTTGGAGGGTCTCTGTGAGGAAACAGGACCCGGACCACACACTCATGAGGACAATGTGAAGCTGAAAGAACAGGGGCCCTTTCTCCGGCAGGAGTGAAGAGAGGGGCAGGCGTGGAAGCAGAGCTCAAACACTGAGAGGTCACGAATTGAAGGACCTGCTGGGCAGGCTGACACGGGCCAGGGAAGTGTGTGGAATTCTCAGATTAAGGAAGCCCTTACCCACCAGCTCATCAGGAAGCAGATGCTTCATACGTGCCAGCATCACACAGTGGGCTCTATACCCATCTCTGCCACCCCTGTGGCCGTTGACTGCCCCATGCAGGCTGACAAGAGCCAGTCCCCCGGCCTGCACTCACTCGGCCTTCTTGCGTTTGTGGTAGGAGCGCCGCCAGGGGTTCCGCCAGGTCTTCCTCTTGGCCAGCGACAGGTCAGGCAGGAAGGCTGCCAGCGAGCCCTCTATCTGGTCTGGCTTCCCACACAGCGCGTGCTCCGTGGAGCAGTAATAGGAGCACTCGCCATAGAAGCAGATGTTGTTGGCTGCGGAGTGAGAGGCTGTGGGTTACCTGAGCAGCACAAAGCGGCATCCTCACTTGTGGTCTCAGGGCCCTGTGGCTGGGCCAGGCTCTGTCTGGTGCTTCTCACGGGCAGGACTCACCGGAGTTCCCTCATCAATCCCAGCAAACATTTCTGCCCCATGGCATAAAAAAGTGAACCCAAAGACCTGACTCCCCGAGGCCACACAGCCCCCTGGGGGTAGAGCTGGGCCCAAACCCTCAAAAATCAGGGGATAGTGTCTATGGCAACTCTACGGCTGATACTTAGTCGCTTAAAAAAATGCATGCGTAGTGTAAAGAAAGTGGATCTACAATTCACAGAATGGGAGAAAATGTTTGCAAACCACACATCTACTAAGGATCTAGCATTTAGAGTGTAGGAAGGACTCTCCTAACTCAATCACAAAGACGAAAACCCAACTGTTAAGTGGGCAGAGGGCCTGAACAGGTGATTCTCCAAAGGTGACACCACCAGCTGACAAGCATGAGGAAGATGGGTGCCATTGTCAGTCACCAGGGAGATGAATCAAAGCCACACATGCTTCAAAACCACCTCATGCCTGCTGGGATGGCTTCCTTCAAAAGGGCAGAGAACAGCAGCTGCTGGGGGAGGGGGCGGCGCGGGGAACTGCCGCCTCTGTGCGCTGCGGGTGGGAGCACAACGGCACAGCGCAGTGGAAACAGCCTGCAGCCCCTCTATGGGTTCGACACAGTGTCCTCATGTGACCCAGCAACTCCCCTCCTGGGTGAACCCCTAAGAGAAGGAAAAGCGTTTCCACACAAAAACTCAGACACGAATGCTCATAGCAGCATTGTTCACCGCAGCCACAAAAGGGAGAATTCACCCAAACATCCATCAACAGAAGAGGGACAGGCCAGGTGAATGAAATGAAACAAAAGGAAATGAAATGGACCATGCAAAGCAGTGAAGTCCTGACTCAGGCTGCAGCTTGAATGTACCTGAGGACTCTGTACCTGCAAAGGAGGCCAGACACAGGCGGCCACAGATCGTACGACCCTCTGGATAGAAAATGCCGGGAAAAGGCAAATCCAGAGAGACAGGGTAGGACACGAGTCGCTGGGGACTGTGGGGTGATGAATGGTAGCTGGCTGCCCACAGCTACAAGGGTTCCTTTCTGGGGTGAGGAAGACCTTCTGGATTTAGATAGTGGTGAGAGTTGCACATCATTGTGCATATACTAAAAACCACTGAATGCTTTTAAATGGTAGATTTTGTGGTACATGAATTATACCTTAATAAAAATAATAATAATTTTTAAAATGCAAGACTGTCGAGGCCGCTAGCAGTGGGGTTCACTGCTCTGATGCTGGACGACAGGCCGACGATGCTCTTCCTGCATTTATTTGCTGATTAAATCCAGGTTTTCACGCTTCATTTGTTTGTGGGGAAACTCTGGAAAGCCGGGGGCTGTAGAACTGGTGAGGATGTGGTTTTTGTTGGGGCAGAGCCTGGAACCTCACTCACAGCGCCCCCAGTCCCAGCATTTCTGCTATTCACACACATGGTTGACATCTCAGCCAAAAGGGCCCCTCCTTGAGCCACCCAGCCGGGCTGAGTGATTCCAAAGTCTCTCCGGCAGTCTTGAAGCCTCCAGGCTGCAGGGCTCCCCGTGGGAGCACAAGGCAGGCTTGGGAGGGCACTTCCCAATGGAGCAAACAGGAGGGTGGCTGGTCTGGGCTGCCCTTTCTTAGATGAACAAGCTGAGGTCCAGAGAGGCAGTGGGGTGGATGCCAGGCCCACTGGCCCCCCACCACACTGCATGCACCCGGCAGGTCCCAGCTGGCCTGACCCCAGTACCCCAATCATCTGTCTCCCCTCCTTCCCACACCTCCTCACCCCAGTGCCAGCGCTGGGTAATTACTGTAAGAATGATCAAAGAAAGAGCAGCTGCTAGTCTGCTGCATGTTGATACAGATTCATCAGGAACCCACAGTTGGACACAGCAGCCTTCATGGGGGCAAGAGCTCCATTTCAGGAGGAAAATCTTCATCAGAGCGCTCATTGGCTGGAGGCTTAAAATTCATCTGCTGCAACAGCCTCCGGTCCTTGCCTAAGCCAGTTTCAGATGGTATCGTGTCAAAGAGAAAGGCATTTCTCCGGCCAGAGCCTTTCCTCCGCAGATCCAAATTGGGTTTTAAAGGGGCCTCCCGGGAGGGGTTAGGAGGGCTTTGAGCTGTGTGACCTCAGGCGACTGCCTCATCACTCTGTGCTCAGCCCCTCCCTCGCCCAGGAAGTAGGGGTCCCAGCAGTGCCTGCACCACAGGCTGGGTATTACACAAGGAAACTGCATGAAGGCAGCTGTGAAGGTAATGAAGACTGCCTGTGCTTGGAGGGGTGGGTTTTCTGGGAGGAAACAGCGTGAGTCCTTCTCCATTTTAGTAATAGCAACAGACATGGACAGCAAGGAGAAAGCCAGGGTCCCAGACAAACCCAGGAGAGAACCTGCCTCCTCCAGTCACCAGAAAATGGCATCACAGTTGGCCTCCCAGAGAGCACGGCCTGGCAAGTGTGTGGCTCCTGGCAACGACCAAGATGGCCTCTTTACCCTGGGGCTGGAGTGTCTCTGACAATTCCTTTCTGTGACTGTCGGGGTTGATCCGGCAAGAGGAGAGTTTGCAAGGTGGATGTCTGCCATCTGCCACGCTGGACAGCTTAGGGCCTGGCGGACAGTTTTATTTCAGGCAGTGGCTCTGGCTGCCCGAAGCAGGTCCACAGCTGGAAACCCGTCTCTTTCAATGTGCAAACTTGCATTTAAGCTGGACACAGCATTGGAGAGAGTCCTGATGACTGTCCTGCCAAGCCCAGGAGACCGTGGCAGGAAAAAAGCCAAGTGAATGATGGCAAAACCCATCTGTTCATGCTGTGTCGGGCTGAGGGGCTTCCGGAGCTGCAGGGGACCTGGGCCTGGTCCTGGGGTGCTCATCTGCAGAAACGCAGAGCTGCGCCTGGACCACCTGTGCACCTCTGGGATGTTTGCAAGGTGCCGACAGTAATTTACATGAGAAGTAGGCGAGTCTGTTCCGTGAGCATTTGGTGCTTAGAAGTTGTGGGCTCTGGCTGGGGGTGGTGGCTCAGCCTGTAATCCCAGCACTTTGGGAGGCCAAGGTGGGTGGGTCACCTGAGGTCAGGAGTTCCAGACCAGCCTAGACAACATGGTAAAACCCCGTCTCTACTAAAAATACAAAAAATTAGCTGGACGTGGTGGTGCACACCTGTAATCCCAGCTACTCGGGAGGCTGGGGCAGGACAATCCCTCGAACCCAGGAGGCAGAGGTTGCAGTGAGCCTGAGATTGCGCCATTGCACTCCAGCCTGGGCAACAAGAGCAACACTTCATCTCAAAAAAAAAATAAAACAGAAGATGTGGGCATGACTGCGGCCCGGCTGTGCAGTGCTGGGGTCCTGACTGCCCTCTCTGAACCTGCACTCCACCCTACGTGGGGAAGGGGAATGCCTGGGGTTCACCCTCCTGCTTCCCCTTCCCAGAGCCCACCTTCCCTGAGCACTGGCCCTGGTCCCTCTCAACCCCTCACCTTGCTACTGGCTCTCTCACTGGCTGATGGGTTTTTCCCTTTTCTGATTGATCCAAGGGGAGGATCATTCAGGCCATGGGAGGCCAGTGTGTTTGTGTGGGGGTGTCTGCAGTGGGCTCAGCCCTCTGATGTGCCCTGGGCTCCAGTAGGGCCTCTGAGGCCACCTAGCATCTGTGATCAGGAGACACAAGCAAAGCAAAGTGGAATAAATGAATCTGAACAGATTTTGTTCTCAGGAGAGAAAGGTTGGCTTCTGTACACCTGCTGCTTTAGAGAAAGCCAAGCCCTCCCAGAGGCTTCTGGAAGAAATTGGGCTGAAGGGCAGAGTGGCCAGAGTGGCAGTATTGGGGGTCCCAGGGGCTGCATTTGGAGGTGATCAGCAATGCTGGGCCCAGCTGCTCTGAAAGATTCCAGAACTCATCTGTCCACGCAGGGAGATGGAACTGCTGGGGCCTCTGGCAGCTGAGGAACTCTCAGGATTTCAGGGGAGAAACTTGCACTGTCCTGGAAAAGGCAACCAAGTTCTAGAAATCAGGAGTGGCCAGGGAAGGTTCCAGGGCATTTGGTTAAAGGGCTGGCTCCAGGGAGGTGTGAGAAGGGATTTCAGCCATGACACCAAAGGTGGTCTATAGCAGCCTTGTGGCACAGAGCTCAGGGGCGCTCTGGTTACCACAGTCCCTGGCCTGCTCAAGACCGTGGGATTCCAAACATCAGCCAGCGTGGGGCGTAGAAGTAACTTAAATCACCTGCTTGGACTGATAATCAATTCTTTTTTTTTTTGAGACAGGGTCTCACTCTGTCACGGGGGCTGGAGTGCAGTGGTGCGATTGTAGCTCACTGCAGCTTCGACCTCCTGGGCTCAAGCCATCCTCCTGCCTCAGCTTCCTGAGTCGCTGGGGTCACAGGTGCACACTACCACACCTGGCTGTTTTTCAGTTTTTGTAGAGATGGAGTCTTGCTGTGTTGCCAGGCTGAGGTTGAACTGGGTTCACGTGATCCTCCCACCCTGGCCTCCCAAAGTGCTGGGATTACAGGCAGGAGCCACCATGCCCGGCCACTCAGTAAGACCTTAAAAATGGAGAGGAAGCAGTCTGCCCCCACAGGCTCCTTCTACGACTAAGTGAGGAATCCTGGAGATGCTGCTGGGAGCAGAGCAAGGCAGGGCATGCTCTCGGCATTAATGGGCATTTATGACCCCTCCTTGTGCGACCCTGTGACCGTCTCTTTCAGTTGGTCCTGAACTGAGAGGCTGGTTTGCAATGCAGAGAATTGAGTCTAAGCTGGAGGAATTCCTGCAGTCATGGCACAGGGTGGTGGCAAATACATCACTGTAAAAGTTGCAAATAAAATTGTAAAAATACATGAATAAGAACCATCCATAGGCATCCAGGCATCCCCGGGGTGAAGCCCAGCTTAGTGGGCACCAGAGTGTGCATGGCAGGCTGTAGGATGGTCAGTCCTGTGGATGGTGGGGCAGGAGGCCGTGGCCAGATGGTGCAGAGTAGACCTCCAAATCCCCAAGGGCTGACAGCCGCTGGGGCTCAGGCATACTTGGGAAGCCCTGGACTCCCAAGGTGGGATGTGAGTTTTGGCCCCTTAAGAAAGATGGACAGCTCAAATCATCCAAACAGGGACTGAATTGTCTGTAAGCCAATGTGTTCCCATCACTGGGGGTGTGCTTGGCTCAGGCACAGCTGACTGGGGAACCCTCAAAGATCCCGCACTCAGGCTCTGCCTCTGTCCCGATTCCTGGTGTATGGGGCCAGGCACCAGTGGGCCAGGGAAGGGAGCCCTTCTTCCTGCCTCTCTGGGGCTTTCTGTCCTATTTTTTCTCTTATTAATGGGCTTTGAGAGGAAGAAAGCAAATGAGGATCTTGGTGAGCCCTGGCTGATGGAACAGAGCTTAATTAAATCATGGATTCGGGGGTCTGGCTCTGACAAATTCACGACTGCAGTTAAGAGAAAGTGCAGAGTGCCTACATTGATCTGAAACATCTGCAGGAAATGAGCTTTTAGGTCGAGGTTTTATGTGCCAGCAAATCTGAAGACGCAGCTAATCACGGGCCCTAATTGGATTTTATATGCGTGAATTAAACTGACAGGCCAGAGGAGCAGCTGAGGCTCCCTACAGCGAGAGCCTCCAATCCAGAGGGCCCCTCCCCAGTGGCGTCCTGACTCTGTGGGGTTTCCCGGGGTGACTGCTTGGGTCACTTCATTCTGTGGTGCCCACCATTGCTGGGACCACTCTTGACATTCAAGATGGAAACGCAGGGGACTGAGTCCAGGACAGGAAGTAGGGTGTCCCCAGAGCTCAGCCAGGTGACTGGCGGGACTGTGATCAGGCTGTGCAGCAGGGGCCTGGTGCAAGGGAGGTGCTTGGAGGGGAGGGCTGGCCCCTCAGGAGAGCTGCAAATGCCAGTTCTTTCTTTCTTCTTCCTTCCTTCCTTCCTTCCTTCCTTCCTTCCTTCCTTCCTTCCTTCCTTCCTTCCTTCCTTCCTTTTCTTCTTTCTTTTTCTTTCTTTCTCTCCTTCTTTCTTCTCTCTCTCTCTCTCTCTCTCCTTTCTTTCTTTCCTTCACAGGGTCTCACTCTGTTGCCCAGGCTAGAGTGCAGGGGCAGAATCACCACTCACTGCAGCCTCCACCTCCTAGTCTCAAGCCATCCTCCTGCCTCAGCCTCCTCAGTAGCCGGGACCACAGGCAAGCACCACCATGCCTGGCTAATTTTCTTATTTTCTGTAGACAGAGGTCTGGCCATGTTGCCCAGTCTGGTCTCAAACTCCTGAGCTCAAGCGATCCTCCCACCTCAGCTTCCAAAAATGCTGAGATGACAGGCGTTAGCCACCACACCCAGCCCAAATGTCAGGTTTAAAGCAACTTGTGTAGATAATTAAGTAGAAAATCATGTGTTTATGCGTGCATTGTACTTATCACGTAGAGTCTTGAAGGTTTGATAAACCTCAGCACCAATAGAGACATCTATTCCCACCTGACGTCCAGGGAATCCCGTTCCCCTCAAGGGCACCAGGGACCAGAGACGACCAGCCCTGCTGACAGTCCAGCTGCCTCGCTGAGGTGGGGGAGGCCACCCAGCCTGTTGCTATGTGACAGGGGTTCTGCTGTGTGTGTTTAAATCTGGGTGGGGAAGTCCCAGGGGGTCCTGCTGGGTGTGTTTAAATCTATATGGGGGGGGTCCCAGGGAGGTCTGCTGGCAGGGCCACCTGGAGAAGGCTCCCTGGAGAGGCTAGGATCTTCCGAAAGTGAATCATTTCACCAGTTAAGATAAACATAAGCAAATGGTAGGAACAGCCTCTCTGTGCACAGTCGGACACTGGTTAAATGGTGACGGTAGCATGTGGAAGCTGTGTGTGGGTTGGCACACCGGGTGTGGGAGGGGGCACAGGGCACCCCGGAGTGGGAGGTGGGCTGGGCACGACACTGCACATGGTTTCCCTTTGTTGGAGGTACCCAAGCCCTGGTCGCTGTGGTTTGGTGTGGGCTCCCTGTGCGAGGCTACCTGGGGAGATGAAGAAGGTCCTCCATAGCTTCTTGTCTCGTGTGATGTCCCGGATCTCCTTGGTCATGTTGACCATCCTGCCAGCTACAGGAGGAACCCGGCGGAAGTCCAGGATCCTGGCAAGAAAGGGGCAGGGGAGGGTCTGTGCTCTGTGTGGCTGAGCAGGCCACGGTCTCCCTGCCTCCATATAAACCCTGCTCTAGGTCAAGTGGCTCTGCCTGGCCCAGAAGTGATGGGGGTGGGAGGGGGCCCCGAGGGACTGGGGCTGGTGATGCTCACTGATTGGCACACACTGCCAACTGCCTGCATAGCTAAAGCCTGCCCTCATTCCAGGGCTAAATTTAAAACAAAATTCAATTAAAGTAACCACTTTTAATGGTACTCTTTCTGAACCACACTGCATGCTCCCACTTGCTTAATTAAATGGAGAATGCAGGGCGTGAGCTTTTCTTGCTGACTAAGGACATGGTGATTATCCCCTAAGGCGAAGTGACCAGGTGTGGAGGGACGAGGGCTGTCTGCCGGGGCGTCTGCCCAGGGCTCAACCATGCCTCTGAGTGGAGCACCTGCCCCCTCCACTGGTCAGACAGCTTGATCAGATGCCAGGCTCTGTGTCCTGTTTAAAAACAGGTTGATCCAAGGAGGGAGGCCTGTTTCCTAACAAGTGACCCTCGCTGGCTTAGTGGCGCTTCCTTTCTTTTCATAGAAACCCTTTCTTTTTCTGGGTTCAGGCTGTTCTAGATAGCTGAAATATTTGAAATTCTGACTTGTGGGGATTTCTATAGTCACCACAGAAGACTTTGATCTTTGAAAAAGCCATTTAAACTCCAATGTGCACCTGCATCACCAAGGATCTTGTTAAAATGCAGATTCTGGTCCCTGGTCTGAGTGGAGCCTGGGACTCTGCATTCCGACCAGTCCAGGGCAACTCCAATGCTGCTGGCCCTGGGGCCACACTCTGGGCTGGATGCCTCAGGGCCCTGCGAGGAGGCAGGGGGGCTCTAGGGGACCAAGGGCGGCACCTCCTCCATCCACTGCACCAGTGTAAGGCCCTTCAATCCCCTGGGCCCCTCTGGACCCAGGGCCGGCCTGTGAACTGCCCCGGGAGGATACTGAACATGGACCCCCCACCACATCGTCAGCAGGGGAGAGCAGACCCTCACAATGTGTTCCCTTTCTGCTGGGTTGGAGCCCCTGTGGAGACAGGACCACTGGAGCTCCCAGGCCCCCTCACCATGAACATCGCTTCCTCCACCATAGGAAGCCTGCTTTGGTCTTCCAGAGAATTCTGTGCCCTGTGATTCGCTGTGTTAAGATTCACAGCATTTATACTCCTCCCTCCTTCTTTCCTTTTCCTCTATTCCCAACTGCACAGCAGCTGCTGTGCCTCCCATATGCCCGAACTGTGAGGGCATAGGAGGGGCCCATCGGGATTAAGGTGCCCCAAGGGCAGGGACGAAGTGTTAGGAGCATGGCGAGTCTGGGCAAATCGCCTCTCACAGGACCTGTTTCTCATCTGTGAGACGGGATATGGGAGGGTGTCCCTGCAGCATGTTGTGTGGGCTATAACACCAGGGGCTGGGACAGGGCAGCACTCAGGATGCAGGGACAGCAGGCACTGGCATTGCTCAATGGTGTCAATGGTGACAATGATGTCTTGCTGTGTTCAGCATGGGAAGGCCAGGCTCACCAGTAGGTCTGAGTGCACGGTGGGGCACGGAGAAGGACAGGCTCACCTGTCCAGATGGAAGGCAGCAATCTCTGCGTTGTGCCTCTCGTAGTCGGAAAAATAAAAAAAGTCAGGGGGTGTCTCCTGCTCCCTTGTTTGTCTGAGAAGACAGGACAGAAACAGAAAGGGTTTGTCACTGAGAAGGCCTCCAGGTGCCGGGCAGGTGGGGTGTGCTTGGTCCAGCTCTCCAGAGCTGACTGTTCTCTTTCCAAGGGTTTTGCTAACTGTTGTTAAACACAATCATCATTAAAAATTAAATGATATCAACTTACAGTGAAATACATTCATTTCAGAAGTGACAAGTGTTAGGATCTCATCCCTTCCTGATTAGGGTATTTCTATTTCTTGCAGCCGAGGGTTTAAGTCCTCGCTAGCAGTGACGCTGCCCGTGCTCCCACCTCCACACTGGAGACCTCATAAAATCAGCCAAGGGGGCACACTTTTCACACCATGGAAATGGCCAGACTCTGCAAATCAGGCTTCTTCCACCTGAGGAGCTGCTTATTAAATATTTACAGCCCACTGCAGGTCCACACCACCAGCCAGATGGATTCTCCAGAGAAGCCGTAGGCCCCAGACCGCACTTATCCTGGAGACCAGAGATTCAGGCAGAACATGGGCCACTAGGGCACACAGATGGGGGGTGGGGTCAGGCCCTGGTATCAGAGGAGCCCCCCGAACTGAGCAAGATGGATGAACTTCTTGAGGTGTGGGCCCCGGGGCCAGGGTCAGGTTGGACAAGCTGCCCCTCACACCTACCCTCAGCTGCCCACCAGCTCCCTGGAAGAGCACTTCCCCAGAAGGGACGGGAGGGATGCTGGGAGCTTTCTTGGGACTGCCTATGGGTCCTCTTTCTGAAGCCTAGAGAGGTGACCTGACCCATTTTCCAATGCCTCCCTGCTTCTCGCCCCACAGGGCACCCTGGCCTGCAGGACCAGCTGGTCTGCCTCAGTTCCCACTGAGCTGGGGTCATGGCTCTCTGCTACTTTCCAAGCTTGTCTCCTGGTCCTCCAAGCTCCTGTCTTTGTGCATGCTGTTCTGCCCTCCTGGAATGACCTTCCCTTCACATCTCCAGGTGGCTGTCAGCATTTCCTAACATTGTCTGACAGTCAAGGCCACAATGTCTTAGCACTCAAGAAGTCAGCAGTCAGAGAAGTCTGGAGTTTGGGCAATAGTTCCTCCTGAGCTCCTCCCAAGTCTCGCATCCACACTCCCATCACAAAGGTTCTGACAAGGTCTGCAGACAGGTTGTTGGACACATGGTTTCCAGCCCTACACCGACTGTGGAACTCATTCTGTGTGCACAGCATGTTACCATGCCCTGCACTTTTGAGATCTGCTGGTTTAAGCTTCAAATGCAAGTCACTTTCAAGCCCTGGTTCAAAGGCGAACTCCACAAAACCTTCCAGGATGCCACAGCAAAGATCAGCCTCTGCCCCCTGCAAACCCCCCCTGGCCAGTGAGAGGAGGCGAATGCTGCTGGAACATCGGGTACTCCACCCATGACACCTGACATAAAGCCACAGCTGGGCCTCCAGCAGCTGCCAGCTGCCTTGTCTGCAGTGGATGCTGGCTGGCATCTGACCCTTCTCTGTCCCTGTTTCTCTATGTGGAAAGCGAGGGGCGGTGGAGGCTGACTGTGGGGGTTTAATGCTGCCTGGGTGCCCTGGGCTCAGGATACGTTGCTCTAAGCCTGCCCCTAAATCTCAGAGAGGCAGGATGGGATAAAGAACACCTTGGCAGCCCAGCACCAGGTCCACTCAACTCCCAGCCTGGCTTCTCCAGGACTCAGTGGATATGGGGGCTGTCAGGGGCCCTCTCAGCAGCAGGAGGCCTGGATCTGGGGTGTCCCTAAGTATAGGGGAAGGCAGATGCCCTGAGGAGAGCAAGGACCCCATTAGCTGCTCTCAGGGGTGCTCCCCATGGGACCTGGATGCCCCTTGGCCACTTGCTGCTTAGTGGGACTCCCTTGCTGCTGTCACCCAGGCCCGGAACCTGTGGGGCTCTCCCATGACAAATGAGACCTGGAAGTCACACACTCACTCACTTAGAGATGGGCACATGAAGACCAGACAGGGGGTGACTTCCTTAGGGGCCCCAGCATTGGTGGCAGAGCCAGGGCTCAGGCCAGGGATCCTGAGTCCTGTCCGTTTGCTTATCCATTCATTCATCATCCATCCATCCATCCATTCATTCATTCATCATCCATTCATTCATTCATTCATGCATGCATGCAGCAGAGACAGCATGCTTAGTACGCGCAAGCACTGTCCTGGCCTTGGGGAGAGAGAGGGCCCGGGCTGAGGGCAGGAGGTCCACTCTCTATGTGAACAGCCCGGGTTGAAAGGGCTCCACGAACTCCCTGCTACTGTCCTAGTGCTGGGGACTCTGCTCTGTGCCTGGTGGAAACCTGGGATTTCGGGAGCCAGGATACCTGAGACCAAGCCTGGAGCAGGGCCCCGGATCACTCTCCAGCCCTGACCGGCCCCTGGGAGAATCAGGGCAGAGGCTCTAGAGCACAGCAGGATGTGAGCTGGGGGTGCTTAGGCGGGCCTGTGGCTGTCCGCAAGGGTGAGCCAGGTAGTGGCCGGCCCAGCACCCAGGGAGAGCGACATCGGCTTTTAGTCAGGAAACAAGGCCAGCAGATGCAGTCTTGGGGTGTATTTCCTCCCCAAATGCCTCCGAACACTCACATGGCCATACACAGATTTGGATCCCATCAGCCCTGGGTGGACTCTTACTTGGGTCTCACTCAGATTCACAAGATGCTCTACCACCTGCTGCAGTGACCTGAGACTGAGTGCCCCTCCCCAACCGTTACACAAACACCGCTGCTGCAGTTTCCTCATCTGAAAAATGGGGTGAAGCTCCACCCTCCTCAGGGCCGCCCTGAACCTTCAGGACCATGGGAACCCAGCTGCAGACGCGCCTGCAGAGCAGCCAGGCCTGTGCAGTGGAGGCCGGGATCCCCTCCCAGTGGGCCCTTCTCAGGTAAGCAGCTCAAAGGCCTCTCCTGCACTGGCTAGGGGCCCCTGGCACACCCACCCTGGGACCCACAGTCACACTGCATGGGAGAGGCTGGGCTTGTTGTCCCAGGCCTGGTTCAGCTCTGGCTTGCTGTGTGCACCCTGGCACTGCCCACCCCCCAGTTTCTGTGTCTCCTACATGACCTCCAGGACCCCTCTGCTCTGCTGTCAACGCCTCCCACAGTAACAGCCCAAGAAGGGCAATGCTGGCACTGCCTTGTCCCTCCACCCTGGCCAAAGTACAGGAGGCCACAGAGGGCTGCTTATGAAAGGTCAGTGCCATTCTGTAAATGCCACAGGGCTCCGGCATCTCAGGCTAAGACTCCAGGGAAACAGGGCAGAGCCTCAGGGCTCTGGTAGGTCCGTCCACACAAGTATTTGACCGGTGTGGTCATGGTGGAAATGTTGACCAACCTTCATCCAAGATCACATCTAAGCACCAGCATGCTTCCTCCACAAAGGCTTGCCCCGCCCCCACCTGGAGGGAGACCCCACTCCATCCACGAAGGCTGGCCCCCACCCCCACCTGGAGGGAGACCCCACTCCAGGGCTTTCTTCCAGACCAAGCCCAGGGAGGCAACTCAGCCCCAACCCAGGATCAAATTTACCAGAATCGAATGCTGGTGACCTTTCCAGGTGCTGGAAACAGAGCTGGCCAAAACCCCTAGCTTGCATGCCCCGCAGCCCACATCTCCTACTCAGGGCAGACAGCATTGCGTCTGTCTCCAGCACTCCAGCAATGCAGACTCTAGACGCTGCCCCAGGAACTTGTCCAGCCCTTGGCTTCCCTGGCCGGGTCCTTCCTTCTGTATATGAAGCGAATGTCTGCCTGACTCCTGGGAGGGTCCTTCCTCCCATGCTGTTCTCAGAAAGCTGCAACCACAATTCTCTGTGTTCCCTGAACGTTTCTTGGTGGGGGGTTAAGGATGTGTACCATGCACGCCCTTTCTAAGAACCAGTCTGGGCCGCTAGAAATGCAGGGAACAGATCACTTTCCACGATTCCACATAACATCTGCCTGGGTAGGTGTGAGGCCAGATGGGGATTCCAGAAGCTACTTAAAAATAAAATGCAGATGGTGGGCTGGCACCTGAAGACACATTTGCCTCATGAGCCACTGCGACTGTGGGCATCACTGTCTCTGTGCACTTTTGACCAGCAGCAAAAAGAGCATGTGGGACAGGGTGGTGGCAGGTGCGACAGCAAACTGAATGCACTGCCTGCCAGGGTCGCCCTGCAGAGCTGAGGCCTGGGCTCACCAGGGATCCTGAGGTTCAAGAGAGAGTCCAGACCTTGTCGAATCTCCTGGTTTTTAAGTGCTGGCAAATGGATTTCATTTTTCTAAAACAGGGTTAAAGCAAACAGTCCGCTGGAGTCAGCCCACATTTCCAGGGGTGGTAGCTTCCAGAGTGTTGGATATTTCTGAGCTTAAAAGCTGCTGTTGTATTCAACTCGGAAGGATTGCCTTTGAGCAAAACCCATTCCATAGAACACTAGTTCTAGTAGATTTTAATAACTTTTAGCTGGAAAAAGGGAAGTCCAGATCGAGGCAAGATTTCTCTTCTGTGAACTTTGAGCCTTACGTCTGCATACTGATTCCCCAGAACCGCCCAGCATGAGTCCAGGAGTTCAAGACCAGCCTGGGCAACATAGTGAGACCCCCATCTCTAAAAAAAAAAAAAAAAAAAAAAGAAAGAAAATTAGCCGGGCGTGGTGGCTTACACCTGTAGTCCTAGCTACTCAGAAGGCTGAGAGAGGAGGATCACTTGAGCCCATGAGGTCAAGCCTGCAGTGACCACTGCAATCCAGCCTGGATGACACCATGAGACCCTGTCTCTAAAAAAAAAAAAGAATTATTTTCTTCAGAAAATTATCAGCCCTTCATTAGTTGGGCTGTGATAATTCACTGTAGGCCCCCAGGCAAAGCTCTGCACCGCAGGGTGCCCAATAAAACCATTATGAAACTGTCAGTTCCCATAATGTCCACTGCAGAGGCGGGGCCCAGCCCTCCCAGCTGGCCCAGGTCTCTTGTAGGTACCGCCCTTGGGGGCAGCTGTTCTCACCCTGGCTGGGT